TGTTGTCTTATGCTCGCCTGTTCTCTAAACTGAAAAGTCCCATGCCCTACAACCTTTCTTCATGCCTGAACAAAATGAATCAACTTAGATTACCGCTTGCACCATCCACTCCAACTCTGGGCAAAGTCCGTTTGTGTCCGGCATAAGATGTGAGTGGTGCATCATTGCCAAATTTTGCTAGTCTGATCTCTGTGTTCTTCCTTGTCATCCAATCAGAAAGTACATTAGTGCTAATGCTTACTAATGTAAGAAAATAAAAAGGACAGTGTCATCTTTGCATTCTCGGAGCATTAATATACCTGCAAAATGGACACTGTTAGAAGTGTAGTTGCCCTAAATGAGCCACTTAAAATTCTGTTCGGAATAGGTGGCAGGAAATTGGCGAGGCGGGAATTGTCTTTGGGAAATAATCTGATCATTTCTTCATTAAAATTCTGCCCCGTTTCCCTTAAATGAAGGGCGCTTCAGAATGAAAGAGAATTAAAATGTATAATAAAAGGGTTTTATTTTTTTAATTAAAAAAAATTACATGTTGCTCCAGGTGGTTCATTTTCATTGCAGTGGTGTCGCCCTGTGAGCTTTAACTAAAAAAAAAACACAAAAAACCCTCCTGTTTTTACTTAAAGGTACTTGAAGGTGGATCTCCAACTGTTATTACTGCAATAGCTTCAAGGTGTCGTCAGAGTATTCGGGTCCCTAATTTCCATTTCATAAAGGGCTCAACTTTTATAAAATTGATTGCTTGGCCTGGTTCCCTATTTTAGTGTAGCTCTCTGGTAGCCAGCACAGCTTCCTTCAAAAGTTGTTGGACTACAACTCCAATCATCCTTGACCATTGGCCATGCTGGCTGGGACTGATGGGAGTTGGAGTCTGACAACATCTGGAGAGTGCCATGTTGGATAGTACATAGTTGTTGTTTTTAAACGCACTCCACTTTTTTAGCGGCAGCCAATGCAATTCTGGGCCTCATCAATAGGAGTATAGCATCTAGATCAAGTAGATTAACCAATCAATACATCAATAGGAGTATAGCATCTAGATCAAGGGAAGTAATAGTGCCACTGTATTCTGCTCTGGTCAGACCTCACCTGGAGTACTGTGTCCAGTTCTGGGCACCACAGTTCAAGAAGGACACTGACAAACTAGAACGTGTCCAGAGGAGGGCAACCAAAATGGTCAAAGGCCTGGAAACGATGCCTTATGAGGAACGGCTAAGGGAGCTGGGCATGTTTAGCCTGGAGAAGAGGAGGTTAAGGGATGATATGATAGCCATGTTCAAATATATAAAAGGATGTCACATAGAGGAGGGAGAAAGGTTGTTTTCTGCTGCTCCAGAGAAGCGGACACGGAGCAATGGATCCAAACTACAAGAAAGAAGATTCCACCTAAACATTAGAAAGAACTTCCTGACAGTAAGAGCTGTTCGACAGTGGAATTTGCTGCCAAGGAGTGTGGTGGAGTCTCCTTCTTTGGAGGTCTTTAAGCAGAGGCTTGACAACCATATGTCAGGAGTGCTCTGATGGTGTTTCCTGCTTGGCAGGGGGTTGGACTCGATGGCCCTTGTGGTCTATTCCAACTCTATGATTCTATGATTCACTCGATTAGCTAATGAAGGCTGCCTTGAGCGTCTCCATCTGGTTCACAACATCCTCTTGGTCTCGTCCACAAGGCAAGGTCAGCAGCAGGCAATAGTCGCTCTCCACCATCATCCTGCGCGCCACGCCCTCCAACTGCGACGCTTCCAGCCTCATGCGCTGAACAATCCTCAGGGGAGGTCCCTCTTCTGGGGCTGGCAGGGAGCAGTGTGTCAGGACGTTATTGCCGGAGATGAAGTACAGCTGGACGGCCGCCGTGTCATTCTTCAAGGCCAGGAGCCCCTGCCAGACAATGGGGTATTTGGTCAGCAGCTGGACCATGTCCATTGGTCTCTGGGAAACAGGATGAGGTGCAAAGTCTTGCTTGAGCACCGACTCAATTAGAAATGGCTAGCTGAGACTGTACTGGGGAGATGAATTAACCACTGTGCCCCGACACCCTTTATTCGCCAGGAATCTGTGGACTGTTAACATTGTTGTAAGTTGAACTGGCTTGGTTGGTGTGAAGGATTTGGACCAAAGACTGCCCATGTGTTCCCCCTGCAAAGAGAGTGTTGGTTGCTGGAAGGCTGTGTTTCTAGTTTCGAAATGGGCGAGGTGTGTGTACAGTCATACCTCGGGTTAAATGTGCTTCAGGTTGAGCGTTTTCAAGTTACACTCCGCGGCGACCCGGAAGTAACGTCCTCCATTACTTCCGGGTTTCGCCGCTTGCGCATGCGCAGACACTCAAAATGATGCCATGCGCGGGTAGCGGCAAAACGCAGCACACGCAGACACGCAGTTGCATCTTACGTTCTACTCAGGATGCGAATGGGGCTGCGGAACGGATCCCATTCGCATCCAGAGGTACCACTGTACAGTGAATGGATGTGTGGATCGGAAAGGTTTTTGCTCCCTCTCGCATAACATTTAGATCAGGCATAGGCAAACTCTGGCCCTCCAGATGTTTGGGACTACAATTCCCATCATCTCTAGCTAACAGGCCCAGTGGTCAGGGGTGATGGGAATTGTAGTCCCAAACATCTGGAGGGCCGGAGTTTGCCTATGCCTGGTTTAGAGCTCAGGATCGTCCACTGAAATTGAGCGTTGAAGCAAGTACGTCTTTATGCAGTGCGTTTTTCAACTGTGGCATTTGCTCCTGGAAAATGTGGGAATAAGCTAGAGCAGGGCTAGCCAGCCCCACTCTGCATGGCTATTTCATGATCAGGGATGATGGGATTTGTAGTCCCCCGACACTGAGTGAGGCTGGATCAGTTGTGTGGAGTTTGCTCCAAACAAACTTTGGATTTCACTTGTCGGAAGTAAGGAGGAAGAAGATGGCCCTGGGATATGGCCGCTCTACGGCTGATATCTCCATCTTGTGGTTCTGTTTTTGAGGATTGGCACTCCAAAAGTGAGCTTGCAAGCACATACCCCTGCCCTAGATGTAACAGCATGTCCCTCCTGATCTTTTCAGGAATCTTCCAGCACTCGCTAAGGCCCTTGTGCGGCACAGTGTGACTTTCTACATGCCGTGCCGGAAGATTAAAGAGAAATATAAAGCAGCGCTGCGGTTTATTTCCTTTGATCTACATATCTAGAAGACATTTCCATATCAGTCTCTGTGTTGTTTGGCACAGGAACTAGGGAGCTCCCTGAAGATGTGTTAAAAATAAATGGAAACAAGGCTCTTCACACACACACACACACACACACACACACACACACCACGCTGCCCAGCTTTCTCAAACAAGTCGGAAGAACCTCAAAGTTGCACAGGTGCTGGTGTTCAGTTGTGCAGCTGGCTTCTGAGAGGGCCTCTCCCCTTCCCGGGGGGGGTGTCGCAGGCAGGCCAGGTGCTCTCCCCATGTTCAGCAGGGGGCGTGGCAATGCCGCCCGCATCACAGGGAGTCTCAGCCATGTCATGCCCCTGGCCGACCAATCCAGTCGACCGGGGGACATGGCTTGCAGTATTTAAAGAGCTGTGTGGCTGGGGCTGTGTGGTCCTGTTAGCTAGGGATTATGGGAATTGTAGTCCCAAAACATCTGGAGGACCGGAGTTTGCCTATGCCTGCTTAGACTCAATGGTACATAAGTGTGCTTAACTATGTGGTGGATTTCTGTTTATTATTGATGATGGATTTCCACCATCTATTTCAGGCTATGGTTTATAATCCAAACTATAGATTCCTTTTCGAAACGAGTAAAACAAGATGGCTATTTCTTTTGAAAAAAGGTTATCTGCTAATGTATTCATTCCCAAACTGGTGCCATCCAGACAGTTTGGACTACAACTTCCATCTAGCACAGCTAGCAAAGCATTGGTGCTTCAGGACGATAGCCATTGTATTCCAACCCACCTGAAGGTCACCTGCTAGGGAAGGCTGTGCCAATATATAGAGGGTCTTTTGCCTTTAACATTGCGACAACCACCTGTTAAATACTTTTGCTATTATACTTATTTTGACAGGTAGGGAACTCTGGAATTTTACAGGGAGAGAACGTAGGAAACTGCATCTTATCCAATAAATATTCATGGCTTTCAGCCACAGGCCATTGCAAATACAAGAAAACGCTTGTTGGCAGAGACATAAAACATGGATTAAAAATATACTCCCATTTAAAATGCAGCCGAAAAGAAAACAAACCCGAAAGCTTCCTGGGGTTACTCTTAGATTTAGCTTGCTCAAGTCAGTGAGTCACTTTTACCGAACCACCACTGACATTCAGTTCAAGATTCTCTCTTGGGTTTTCTTTGAGAAGGGGAGTAATAAAGATACACGTCAGGGAAAAGGAGGGAGTGAAGATCTACACCAGGAGGCCGGATCTGTTACCCCTGCGGTTTCTGTGGTGTAGTGGTTAAGAGCGGTAGTCTGCTAATCTGGGGAACCGGGTTCGCGTCTCCGCTCCTCCACTTGCAGCTGCTGGGTGACCTTGGGCCAGTCACACTTCCTTGAAGTCTCTCAGCCTCACTCACCTCACAGAGTGTTTGTTGTGGGGGAGGAAGGGGAAGGAGAATGTTAGCCGCTTTGAGACTCCTTAGGGTATTGATAAAGCGGGATATCAAATCCAAACTCCTCCTCTTCTTCTTCTTCTTCTTCTTCTTCTTCTTCTTCTTCTTCTTCTTCTTCTTCTTCTTCTTCTTCCTAAGGCAGTTTCCTCACCTTGTCTCACGGGTGGGCCAGCCCTGCCAAGAGCTCCTGGGTGTGTTGCAGAGCTGCAAGCTGAAGCTCTGCTTATCATGCAATACAGAAGCTGTGGTTCCCTGTTGGTTCGCAAGATGATCTTTTGTGTGCGTCTTGGTTAATTCAAGATCATTAGGTTCTTAATGTCTGTAATTGATGCAGGAGGGTGCGGGGGGCTCGGCTTAATTTTGCTATGTGGAGATTATGGCTTGTAACTTTTGCCTACCTCTCGTTTTGCAGGAATGTCAGTTCGGATGGAGCGGAAGCGCGCAGGAGGCTCCGGGAATGCGACGGCTTGGTAGACGCCCTCCTTCATGCCCTGCAGTCTGCGGTGGGCAAGAAAGACACGGATAACAAGGTGATTCTGCTCTCTGGTGCTGGTGTGAATAGACACTTAGTGTGGCTTAAGCAAATGTGGGTTTCTTGATGTGGGGGAAATACAGGATGCATTGAAGGTGAGGGGGCGAGGTCTAGCTGGGAACATCTGCTGGCTTGAAAGATGCTTGTGTTCACAGATGCTTAAAGGCAGCCAGGCCTACTAGAGGAAAGCCTTTATCTCAGTGCAAGCTGGTCCATTAGGAGGAATTGGGGCCAATGACCCACCTAGCTCGGTCTGCCTGCATCCAGCCCCCACATACTGGCTTCCTCCATACTGAAGGAGCGTCTCCACCCCCATCGTTCAGCCCTGACACTGAGGTCCAGCTCTGAGGGCCTTCTGGAGGTTCCCTCACTGCGAGAAGTGAGGTTACAGGGAACCAGACAGAGGGCCTTCTCGGTGGTGGCGCCCGCCCTGTGGAACGCCCTCCCATCAGATGTCAAGGAAATAAACAACTATCTGACTTTTAGAAGACATCTGAAAGCAGCCCTGTTTAGGGAAGTTTTTAATGTGTGATGTTTTATTGTGTTTTTAATATTCTGTTGGGGAGCCACCCAGAGTGGCTGGGGTATAAATATTACTACTACTACTACAACCAGTCCAGGGTGTGTGCTGGCGATCAGCTTCCCCTCTCCTACTCCATAGGGTAGGACCCGATCCAGTAGATTCAAATCACAAGAAAGGAGATTCTGAGTAAGCATTAGGAAGAGATTTCTGATGTCAAGAGCCTGTTTGACGGCGGAACAGGCTATTTTGGAAGGTGGTGGGTTCTCTAAGCAGAGAATTTGTCATGGATTCTTGAGCTGGGATTCCTGCATTGCAGAGAGATAGACTAAACAGCCCTTGGGGTCCCTTCCAGCACTACAATTCTGTGATTCTATGATTCCTCCTCCTTAGTCTCCATGTTGCCCTTGTAGAGGAACAGGGAGACATTACATGTGCTTCAATTGAGATTCCTGCATTACAAGACTAGATGGTTCTCAGCTCTACAGTTCTATGATTCTATGAAAACTAGAAAGAGTTGGCTGTGCCTGTCATGGGTTCTGACTCAATCTACTGTAGGGCTCCCTGCTTTCCACCCCACCCATCCCAATGGACACCAGCCACCACCGATTAATACTGGACTGCTGTTATCGACAGGCATAAATGTATTTTCTTCCCAACAGTGGAGTTTGGGAGGTGCTTCCACCCAGGGCCAGATTTAGGTTTGGTGAGGCCCTAAGCTACTGAAGGTAATGGGGCCCTTTATACAGTGGTACCTCAGGTTACAGATGCTTCAGGTTACAGACGCTTCAGGTTACAGACTCCGCTAACCCAGAAATAGTACCTTGGGTTAAGAACTTTGCTTCAGGATGAAAACAGAAAGCTAAAGTGGTACCTCAGGTTAAGAATAGTTTCAAAGATAAGAACGGACCTCCAGAACAAATTAAGTTCTTAACCTGAGGTACCACTGTATTGTCCAGCTGTCCTTTGTCAACAGCAAATTGTCACTGTTTTTTGTGTTGAATATATGCGATATGGTCATTTATGGACCTAATAGGTATCTAAAGCCATTTGCACATGTTGCCGTGCAACCAATCCATGCAGAATGTAGGTACTCATATATATATAATGAGCAAACCAGTGATATTTTAGGGAGCAGGCTAGCAGGTGAGGCCCATTACTTACATCATAGTAGCCTACACAACAGAAAACACTGTTGCTATATGTAGGTTTTAATTTATTTGTTTTTATATATTGGAAATATACATCCAGTTTTTCCCTTTGGACCTTTTTTGGGGGCCCAAGAGAGTGGGGCCCTAAGCTATAGCTTGTTTAGCTTACACATAAATCTGGCACTGCTTCTACCTACCCCACCCCCTCCCCCCTGGTAACAGCTTTCTGCAGTATCATACAGAGGTCTTTCGCAGGCCCTGCTGAGCAATGCTGGTGGATTAGAATCACAGAACCATAGGAATTGTACGAGACCTGGCCCAACCCCACCCTGCAATGCAGAAATATGCAGCTGCCCCACGCGGGGATTGAACTGCAACCTCTCGCATCATATGCACCATGCTCTAACCAACGAAGCTATGCAGGCTGAAGCTGGGACCATCTGCATGCATAGTAGATGTTGTGCCACAGTCTCAACCCTGGCTGTTGTTGGTCATTGGCCTCTGTGCGAAAGAACAAGACTCATAACATGTGAGTCTCTCTTTTTCCCCAGCCAGGGCATTCAGCGGAGATTTAGTTGCATGGGGCGGGTGGGTGGAGGGGCCCGTTTCCGGGTGGGGGGTACCCTATGGATTTTGATGCTCTTTTTGTTCTTCCTCAACTCCTGCCAAGCCCCTGATGAATGACCCCCGCTCTGGAGGCTGAGGCAGTGGCCTTTCTGCCTCCCGAGAGACTCATTAGCTGCAGACTGAACCTAGGGGCCTCTTACATAAAAATGTGTGTTTTCCATCACTGAGCTGCAGCAAAAAAAAAAGGGTGCTTAAAAATTTGCAAGTGACTTCCCTTGATGAGGTTTTGTTCATTAGGGGAAGGAACAGAACTCGGTTATAGTCAAGCTGCTTTTCAACGCAGAAGGTCCCGGGTTCATTTTACGGCACCCTGCAAAAAAGAAAAAGGAAAAAGATTTAATAATAATATAATAATAATTTATTATTTGTACCCCGCCCATCTGGCTGGGTTTCCCCAGCCACTCTGGGCGGCTTCCACAGAGACCAGAAATACACTAAAATATCACACATTAAAACTTCCCTGAACAGGGCTGCCTTAAGATGTTCTTCTGAATGCCAGGTAGTTGTTTATCGCTTTGACATCTGATGGGAGGGCGTTCCACAGGGCGGGCGCCACTACGAGAAGGCCCTCTGCCTGGTTCCTTGTAGCTTTGCTTCTCGCAATGAGGGAACCGCCAGAAAGGCCCTCGGCGCTGGACCTCAGCGTCCGGGCAGAACGATGGGGGTGGAGACGCTCCTTCAGGTTATACTGGGCCGAGGCCGTTTAGGGCTTTAAAGGATGGAATGACTCCATTTCTCCTGAGAGCCCACTGACTGTGTCATGCTGGCACAGCCCCTCCAACCTGGTGCCCTATCGATGTTTTGACTACAACTCCATCAGCCCCTTCCTCATTTGCTGTGGTTGATGGGAAATTGCAGTCCAAAACCGCTGGATGGTACCAGGTTGGAATCAACGCTGGCGTACGCCATACTGAGCAAATAGTCTCACCTGGTTTAAGCAATTCCTATGTCTGCTTGTTTTTCGCATCTTCAGTGGTGTAAGATAATTGCTGACCACTCTGATGGCTTTTCCTCTCCCCCCCCTTTTTGGGCGACCGCCTTGCCATAGCTGTGGAGAACTGTGTGTGCATCATGAGGAACCTCTCTTACCATGTCCACAAAAGAAGTCCCGGGAGCGGACAAATTCCAGAGCTAGAAGCAAATCAACTTGGAGGCCTGGGAGGAACTCAGAAGAAGAAGAAGGATGACGCAGGCTGCTTTGGAGGAAAGAAGGCCAAAGGTATGTGTTGCTGCAACCCTGAAGCAATGGAGTCTGCTCCATTGGGGCAAACAAGGCACATCTCCACCAACCTCACTCTTGAGTTCTCCAATCCCACCTGCCTTCTTGTTTATGAGTCAAGGAGTGGCACTTACTTGCCATCTTCTTCTTCCTCCTCCTCCTTCCTTCTCAATGTTGCCCTTTCAGAACTCAGCAGGGAGGAGACCGTGTGCAAAACGAGAATTGGTTGGCTCAGCCTCTCATTGGCTCTGGCGCCACCTGCTGTTCGCCTCCTTGCCTCCTGCCCTACCAGTGCCCTACCAGCCATAACTGAAAGCCAGAAGCAAAATGCTTGTGTTCACATCGTACAACCCAGCTTGTCCGAGGGCCAGCCTTTTGCACTTGGATCCTGGGTGTGTGTGTGTGTGTGTGTGTGTGTGTGTGTGTGTAGCTGCCCCTTGCCCTGCCCTGTTTGAAGAGGCACTTCTGTCTCTTTCTTCTGAACCTTCCAACAGTCAGCTTCATGGGACAACCCATGAATTTTATTCACCTCTATCGTGTCCCTACTTACTTGCCTTTTTTCTAAACTAAAAAGTCCCAGGTATCAGAACCTTTCCTCCTAAGGGAGTCGCCCCAATCCCTTGATCATCTTGGCTGGGCTTGCCCTTCTAGAATGTCTTCTAAATGCCAGGTAGTTGTTGATCTCTCTGACATCTGATGGGAGGGTGTTCCACAGGGCGGGCGCCACTACCGAGAAGGCTCTCTGCCCTAGATCCGGCAAGCCAGGTGCCCCAAGACATTTTGGGACCTCAAAATGGTACCACCCCACCAGAGAAGGAGGGGTGAGTGAAGATGTAACATTGGGAACAAGGATGGAGGAGACCAGCAGCCCCCTCCGATTCACCAGAGGGGGCGATGAGTGGAGTGTGCTGAGGGGGCAACAGATCTAACCTCCAAGGAGTACACTACTGCAGCCATCATTGCTTACTGTGGCAGCTGCAGCAGTAGACAAAGTAATTCCTTGTAGGCTGTGTGAAGTTGTGAGTGAACATATCAGACAACACAGCGATTCTTCAAACAGCTCTTGTTTATTCACAGGCCAGAACAGAACTGAACTGAAGCTTCAGTCAGCCTGCAAATATAGAGCTCAGTACAAACGTAACTGTAACAATTTTCTAAAACTAATCCAATCACTGAACGTCACTTTCGATCCCTTATTTTGCATAACTATCTACAGTATCCCCTGCTGGCCCAGGGTGAGAACTTCAGTACATAACAGGCTGGATCTGCTGCAGCTATAGATTCTGCACCTGAGGCAGATGCCTCACCCTTGCCTCATGGTGAGGGCTGTGCCCTCTCCCTCAGACGTACCTGGAGATGCTGGAGATTGAAAACTGAGGCCTTCTGCATTCAAAGCAGGTGTTCTTCCACTGAGCTACGGCCCTTGCAGTGCATAGAAAGAGTTTGCGGAACTGTCTGTCTGTCTATTTCTCTAGCTCTCT